AAATTGTTTTACCTTAGGAACATGTTCTAGTATGAGATAATATATGTCTGTCAAGCACATTTCATCATTTACTGAACATTGTCTATTTCCCCATCATATACCATAAAAAGCTACAAAAACTATTATTTAGGTTCTCAAAATGCTCGATTTTTTATTTTACACATTTCTTATTGTACATATGCGCCTTCCATTTCATCTGTGTACGGCTGACTGTGTACTACTGTGTAACGCTGAGCCTGGGGTAGGGATGGGGTGTTCAGAAAATGTGCAGAACGGGGGTACTCGTTAGAGCGGTACTGACACTCGTCACCTCAATCTCATCTTCAACCGAAGACAAAGCATCGAACACTTTTCTTTTAAACATTCTCTGGTATTTTGGCTGCATATTTTGGCAAGTTTGCCCCATTGAATAAAAATACGTTTCGATATCACTTTTTTCTTTTCTCGGAGACTTCTTATTTTTGGCTTCCTGGCGCTGCTGTAGGAAATTCATAACTCTAGACACATCATCGTCGGCCCTTTTCCTTTTACTAGGCTTGCACGCTTTTGTTGAGACGCATGGTGATGGTGTGATGCATCTTTCATCAATGGTGGTTGGCGACGGTGATCGCAAAGGTGTAGCACTAGCCAACGAAGAATCAGATGGAGAAGCAGAATATGAAGTGAATCTTATACTATCTGCTTCTTCATCACTGCTCTCAGCAGCTGTCACATTTGAAGAAGTTCTAAAAACGTCAAAGAAAAGGCACGAATCAGTACACACGTATGGAGTGGCGGCAGTTTTGTTACCTTTACCAACAGGTTTTTGATATTTCACCCTACATTTTATAGTAGCTGTCACGTAATCACTTAGACAATTCTGACATTTTATTTTCAAAATTAGTGAAGGAAGATGAGGAATATTTATTAACTAATAGTCGGCGGTCAACGTTTTTCTTATTTTTACGAAACATATGGAACATATGGGAAAAATGTATGACTTTTACATACGTCTGATTGTTAAATATATCTGTAGGAATACGAGTAGCACATTCATAATAACATACGGCCTAGTTTGCAGGAAAGGCAGAAGGAAAGACATCTGTTGTGCATATCTGTATTCTCTTATTTTCGTTGCCTTGGACCCACTTCGCTTGTGTTCCTTCATCTTTTTCAGGTACTTCATGAATGAGTCACGAAGATTCGTCCAGTGAACCTTGCAATATTTGCCTGCAATAATTTATTAGTTTAGTATTACATACTAAAACGAGTATTATATAGCTTTTTTATTTTATTTCAGTTATTTGGCTCCAGGTGATTCCTTCGAAAGTCTTGCCTTTTCATACAGGCTGGGGAAACAAACAGTTTGCAGCATTG